TAATGAAAGCATAGAATTTGATCCCCATCATAAAGTTCTCTATGAACCCACAGAAAGAGAATTATTCCCAGCAGCAAGAATTTAAAAAAAAAATCTCATACAAGAATTGGCATTTGAGCAGGCCCAGAAGGAGCGTGGAATTTTCATAGGTGAATATGGAGAAAAGGGACATTCCCAGCAGATAGCAAATCTTGAGCAAAGCTCAGGGCCATGCAAGTATCAAAGTTGCCTGAAGAAGAGGGATGAACAGAACAGAACAGAGAGTCCAGAAATAACGCGGCACAGCTATAACCATCTGATCTTTAACAAAGTCAACAAAAAAGCAATGGGAAAAGCATTCTCTAGTCAATAAATAGTGCTGGGATAACAGGCTAGCCATATGCAGAAGATTGAAATTGGACTTCTGCTTTACGCCATGTGCAAAAATTAATTCAAGATGTATTAAAGACTTAAATGTAAAACCTAAAACTATAAAAACCCTGGAAGATAACCTAGGAAATACCATTCTGGATATAGGCCCTGACCAGGATTTCATGACAAAGATGCTAAAAGCAACTGCAACAGAAACAAAAATTGACAAATGGGACCTAATTAAACTAAAGAGCTTCTGCACAGGGAAAAAAAAAAAAAAAAAAGAAAGGAAAAAAACGATGACCAGAGTAAACAGACAATCTACAGAATGGGAGAAAACATTTGCAAGCTCTGCATCCAACAAAGGTCTAATATTCTGACTCTGTAAGGAACTTAAACAAAATAACAAGCAAAAAACAACCCCATTAAAAAGTAGGCAAAGGATATGAACAGACACTTTACAAAAGAAGACATACACGCAGACAACAAGCATATGAAAAAAATGCTCAACATTGCTAATCATTAAAGAAATGCAAATCAAAACCACAATGAGATGCCATCTCACACCAGTCAGAATGGTTTCATTAAAAAACAAAAACATAACAGACACTGGCAAGGTTGTGGAGAAAAGGAACATACTCTGCTGGTAGGAATGCAAATTAGTTCAGCCATTGTGGAAAGCAGTGTGACAATTTTTCAAAGAACTTAGAATTACCACTTAACCCAGCAATTTCATTATTGAATATATATCCAAAGGAATATAAATCATTCTACTATAAAGACACATGTATGTATATGTTCATCACAGCACTATTCACAATAGCAAAGACAGAATCAACTTGAATGCTATCTACAGTAGACTAGATAAAGAAAATCTGGTACATGGGCTGAGCGCAGTGGGTCACACCTGTAATCCCAGCACTTTGGGAGGTGGAGGCAAATGGATCTCCTTAGGTTGGGAGTTCAAGACCAGCCTGGCCAACATGGTGAAACCCTGTCTCTACTAAAAATACAAAAATTAGCCAGGTGTGATGGTGGGCACCACTACTCGGGAGGCTGAGGCAGTAGAATCGCTTGAACCAGGGAGGTGGAAATTATAGTGAGCTGAGATCCTGCCACTGCACTCCAGCTCAGGCAACAGAGTGAGACTCCATCTCCAAACAAAAGGGAAAATGTGGTGCATATACACCATGAAATACTACTCAGCCATAAAAAAGAGTGAGATCATGTCCTTTGCAGCAACACAGATGGAGTTGGAGGCCATTATACTAACTAATGCAGGAATAGAATACTAAATACCACATGTTCTCACTTACAACTGGGAGCTAAACACTGAGTACACATGGACACAAAGAAGGGAACAATAGCTAGTGGGGCCTACTTGAAGGTGGAAGGTAGGAGGGGGTACAGAACTGAAGAATTACCTATCAGGTACTGTGCTTATTACCTGAGTGACAAAATACTCTGTACACCAAATCCTTGTTACATGCAATTAACCTACATAACAAACCTGCACATTTATCCCTGAACCTAAAATAAAAGTTAAAAAAAAAATCTGGGGCCGGGCGCGGTGGCTCACGCCTATAATCCCAGTACTTTGGGAGGCCGAGGCGGGTGGATCACGAGGTCAAGAGATCGAGACCATCCTGGTCAACACGGTGAAACCCCGTCTCTACTAAAAATACAAAATATCAGCTGGGCATGGTGGCGCATGCCTGTAATCCCAGCTACTCAGGAGGCTGAGGCAGGAGAATTGCCTGAACCCAGGACACGGAGGTTGCGGTGAGCCGAGATCGCGCCATTGCACTCCAGCCTGGGTAACAAGAGTGAAACTCCGTCTCAAAAAAAAAAAAAAAAATCTGTACACATTTTAGAAAAGAGTAAGAGGTATGACAGGGAGAAGAAAGGAAAACACTAGCTAGGGAGTTAGGAACACACAGTGGAGACACTGAATTACATTCAAAGGAGTATGGATTGCATTATTCTCCAGGCCACAGGGAACCACGCAAGACTTTTAAGCAAAGGACTGATAAGGTTTAGAAAGCCTTATTTATGTTTGCGACATTATGTTTTAATATTCTACTCTACAAAGGGCCCTGGCATCAACACTCCTGCTAATCAAAGAAATCAACTCAAACAACCTCTAGTCCCAGTAATAAAGTATAATTTCAATTCACCCTGAAGATTTTAAGGAGTCTAGTTTACCTTCTGTTTTGACAAGCCTGTCTTGCCCAATATGGTGAAAGTCTACATATATTTGATTTTCAAAAACACTTGTACTATTAATTAAATCTCTAACGATGGCATGCAAGCAAAACACAGTCTTTGGAAATTAAAATAAATGTAGAGTCACAAGCATATCTATAGCATTTTGTAAAACAACTTTAGTACTAATTTTAAATTCACAGAGGCTTTTCTTCCTGAACTAAAAGCAGATTATTGCAAAGACCACAATGTAGTAAGTAGTTCCACAAAGGTGGAAAAACCATATTAAGGAAATATGGTGTCGCTGCTGCTCTATGCTTCTCCCCTGTTGATGCTAAACATAAGCACACACAAAAATTTATCACGACAATGTTCTCGGTTCCATCCCTATAAATGGTATTAATGTCAACGCTTGATCACCAGCCTAATGATTTGTTTGCAGTCCAAGTTTTCCCTATGTACCTGGTGTTTAGCACAGGAATGGAAAAATACCAAAGAAGGAAAAGTTTTAAAGAAACTTTTAGGAACGAAAGAGATTTGTTCATATTGTCATTAAAAAGTGTATTACTTTTAAAAGCAAAGCAAAAATAATCCCGTAGCTGTGGCCAATAAACAGTTGGTATTTCCACTATTATAGCATATAACAGTATCTGTTTCTGAAGCATGAAATCAACATGAACTGATCAGAGAGGAATTGTGGCATTTCTTTATCTTTCACCTATTCATTGAGTGCTTACTATGTGCCAGGCACTGTCCTAAGTTCTGGGAATACCAATTAGTGGGGAGAAGGGAAAGAGAACTGCAATATAAGATGAGGTCAGAGGGAAAATAGAGAATTGTGAAAGCAGAGGCAAGAAAGTTGGCTGAGGTCAAGTAAGAAGAAAAGTAGAAGAAAGGAAGAAATGAGAGGAGTAATGGAAATAGGGAAATGGAAATAACTAATCCATAAAGTAGAGAAGCTTCTGAGGCCAGCACCTGGGCAGGGTTCCTCAGAGAAATATGCAAATATATACTGAATAGGGCAGAGCCAAGGAAATGACGGGCAGTGCTTCTGAGAGGCTGGAGCCTCTCAGAATGAAATGAAGAATGAAATAAACAAAGATGACTAGAGGGAGAAAAGAGGAGAAAACACTCAAAACTAATAATGGAAAAATAAAGAACTAGAAGGAACAAGAAAGGAAATGGAAAGAGAGAGATACAAATGACTATGGATAATGGGAAGGAGTGATGTGGCCACAGCAGCACGGATGTCAGAGAGAGATGAATGATGGAATCCAGGAGTGAGGAAGCAGGATGATATGAAAAAGATTGTATGATAAGGAAAGGAAGGAGGTGTTGACCACAGGAAGATGGAGTTTATAAAGCTAGACTAGAGATGGAGGAAATGGAATGATGAGGGGAGGTGAATGGTGCAGAGAAAGCAAGGGAGTAACTAGAATGTGATGGGGCAGGAGGTGGGTGGAGCATGTTGGTGCTGAAAGAAGATGGGGTCTGGGCTGGCTTCATCGGAGTGAAAACTGGTCAAGTGCACAGGGCGCCTTGCTCAGAAGGTCCCCATTCTTGGTTGAATCCTCTGCTGTTTTGTCTTTAAATTCTTTGTAATTTTTGAAGAGGCTTTGTGTTTTCACTTTGCATCAGGCCTTGCAAATCATGTAGCTGGTCCTGGCTGGAAGAGACCATGAGGTGGGTGATGGGGCCGGCCTCTGATGGGGCCATGAAGGATTTGGGTAGGGCCATAGTGGATGGGGACTGTGAATGCCAAGTAATGACAGGGACCCGAAGCTCTTGAGGTTATAAATAAGAGGGCTAAGGGGCAGACAGGGAGACATTGAAGGGTTGCAGAAATGACCCCTCATTGGAAAGGCTGAAAATGGGATGTATTGTAATATGGGGGAGTGGTAGAGTGATACGAGATGTTAACACAGGAGTCAATGAACACACAAGGCAGTGGTGATGGCCTGAAGAGGCTTAATGCAGACATGCGACAGGTGATCACGCTAGGAAATCAGGGTGTGACAGGTGGACAAGGGTCATTGATTGGGATAACAGCAGGCATCTGTGAAACCTTCTTTCAGGTTTCCCCTGTGAGATAAGATATCTCCAATATTTCTCTGTGAGCCTCCCTTATGGTGTCACTTCATGACTAAAAATCTAGGGTTGGGTGCATTTCACGTGTGGATTTCAGAATTCATTAATTTCCTACTGCACTTAGCACAGCGCCAATGCCGCAGTGGGGATGGGGAGGGGGGAGGTCCACACAATTGAAGGAGAAACGGGAAGTAAAGGGGCCACAGCCAAAGGTGAAAGGCAAGGGAGTGAGGGTGCAGGGGGATATGATGTTGATGGGGGAAATATTGGAATTACCGTTTGTGACAATCGTCAGTAGGGGAAGGACAATGGGGAGGGGTCAAAGGAGAGGCGACAGAGGGGCACTGACTCCTGACCTCGGCCATCCTGATGCTTTCTGGGGGCGGCCTCAGAGGCTGCTGTGGAGATCGCAGGAGCTGGGCCGGAGTCTGGGGAAGGAGCTAAAAGCGCGACACGCTGTCTATCGCCCGCCCCGGGCGAAACCCGGCGCTCGGCGCGTCCTCCCGTCGCCTGGCAACCGCCACTCCCCCTAAGGGCGCCAGCTGGAATTCGAAAGGGGAGGAGCTTCTGAGGCCCGCACCCGGGCAGGGTTCCTCAGAGAAATATGCAAATATGTCGCGAATGGGGCGGAGCCAATGAAATGAAGGGGCGGCGCCTCTGACAGACTGGGAGGATCCCCACGGTGTGCGCAGATGGAGACACCGAGGAGAAAGATGAGGGGAAATGGAAAGAGGCCACCCAAAAAGGACGGTGGGGGACACTAGGGAGCCAAGCATGGAGAACCGAGGACTAACGCTTGGAAGGAAATGTGGACCAGAAGGTTCCAGATGAGGGAAGGACAGGCGGCTACCCTCTGCCTTCTGAGACAATGTGGAATAATCTCTCCTTCAGTCAGTTCAACCTTTGTAAGACAGTCACTGTGTGCAGGACACGGAGGGAAAGCTGAGGTAGAGAAAGCACAGAGGCTGCCTTCAAAGTGTTTATTCTAATATTAGGGGTGAGAAAAATAGGGTGCAGAGCTTAAGGCACCGTGGAAAAATGTATGTAGCACCACATCGCGAAAATATCCCTTTCTTCTGGGACCCCTCTCCCCAAACCATTTCTTTGCCCTCTTCTCTCCCCTTCGCCTCTACCCTTTGTGGACTTCAGGTACAAACAGTTGAAGCAATTATACTCCTTGGTTCGTGAAATGTGCAAGACTCCTCTCTGGTTTTATTTTTCCCCTTTGTCCATCCCTTCTCCCAACCCTATCCTCAGTCCCATAGGCATTCATGCTTCTGTGCGTCCATATGTGTTTTTGGAAAATGCATAGCAGTTTTATCAGTATGTTTTTTTAATTGTTTAAATAATGCTACTGGCCGGGCACTGTGGCTCATGCCTGCAATCCCTGCACTTTGGGAGGCCGAGGCGGGTGGATCACAAAGTCGGGAGTTTGAGACCATCCTGGCCAACATGGTGAAACCCCATCTCTACTAAAAATACAAAAATTAGCTGGCTGTGGTGGCGGGTGCCTGTAGTCCCAGCTACTGAGGAGGCTGAGGCAGGAGAATCGCTTGAACCTGGGAGGCGAAGGTTGCAGTCAACCACGATCGTGCCACTGCACTCCAGCCTTGGCAACAGAGCCAGACTCCATCTCAAAATAATAATAATAACTAAATAATGCTACTGGACTTTAGAGATTATCTTATGTTCTACTTTTTTCACTCAACATTCTCTTTAAGGATCTCTCCTTGTTGCAGTTGGCAAGCATATCCTATTTCATTGCCTCTGAGTGCTGCACAGAGTTTCATTAGGGGCATCCACCACATTTCACTTCCATTTCCCAGGTGTTAGGTAACAAGGCTGCCTCTAATTCTCCAATACATCAAGTAATACAGCCATGATCGTCCTTGTCCATAGTTCCTTATGGACCTCTGCAAATTCCACTGAAATATATGCCAGGGAGTAAGATTGTTAAAGTCATTAGCGATGCATGGGTACATTTGATTATGCAACTGCATCCTGCACAAAGACATACAGTCATGGAGCAATGGAGGCTGAAAAACAGCCTCTACTTTCTTTCCCATGCATGTGCCCTGCTGGAGGAAGGTGTGCACTTTTTATTCTCACAATATCTTTGTACCCCAGCCAAGTCATGAACCTGGAAGGCTGTACCTGTCTAGAGGGTGTCCCTTTTTCAAACTCATCTGGCCGGAAGTGAACAGTTTTCCAAAAGCACAACGATGCCCATTAGCCTAGTAGAAACCCTGGTACTTATCAAGAACTTTACTGTAAGATTGTGTACTAGAGTTACTGCCCTAGGCTGCACCCCAGTGTGTTGTACAAGGGTCTCCAGCCAACACGTCCATCCATCCTTTCCAGAACGTGGTAGGTCTTTTTTATGAAACACTCATAAAGTGTTTGGTAAATGCCAGATACTATTCTAAGTGCTTTGCAAATATTGACTCATCTAATTAGCCAATTTTCTAATTTCTGTCAATATGATGAAAGTAGTCTAAGCACATTTTTTGCTTTCATTTTCACTTCTCTAACTACTAATGAATTTTTTGACCATTTCTTTATATATTCATAGGCTACATGAGAGTCCCTTCTGTAAACTGCCTTTTCGTAGTCTTTGCCTATTTTTCTGTTGGTCTTTTTTCTTTTTCTTTTTGATTTGCAGATATCTTTGTGAAGCCTGGACATCAATCTGAGTTAGAAGACTGGAAACTCTGCCTTTATGTCCTTAAGGGAACAACAGTCCTTAATTTTGATACTGTGGCTCTTTAGCTCTTTTGTTTTCCATCTTTCTTTTATTTTTTATATATTTTTATATGATTTAGACCTCCTTAACCCAAAGGTCATAAAAGTATTCTCCCATCATTTTTTTCTATCTATTAGCTTTATAGTTTTACTTTTTTACATTCAGTTATCTAACCCGTCTGGAGTGCTCCTTCCCATATGGTGTGAGATAGGGATCTGACTATATTTTTCTCTGCGGGGTGAGCAAATTTTCCAACAACCCATGTTAAACAATTAATTCTTTCCAAATTGGTTTGAGAAAGTTTCCAAATAGACATGAGTATGTTCTGAACTCTCTAGTTTGTTTGTATGTCAGTACCACAAGGTTTGATTGCTGTGAGTTTTTAGTTAGTCATTAATGTTGAAGGGCAAGTTCCTCATTCCAAATTCTTCTGTGTCAAGATTGCTTTGTCTGTCCATGGACCTTTATTCTCCTATATAATTTTTAGAATAAATTTGTCAAGTTTATGAGAACTGTGTTGGATTGATGAATTAATTCAGGGAAAATTGACAACTGTACAGTGACATCTCATTCATGACCTGACATTGTATATCTAGTGGACAAAAGGAGGGAAATGTGGCTGAGTCATAATGTACATGGAGGTTGCTGAAGAGGTGGTGGATGAACTAGAGAAGCAGGCTGAACCACACCGTAAACCAAGCTAATAGAAATGAGCTTGAAATGGGACAGGCAACCCAGCTCAGGCTGTTTTGTGTATTTACAGGAAACCTGGTTACACATTAGGACCATTGGCTTTTGGGATTGCCATGATTCAGAGAAACTCCATAACATTTCTGAAGGTATATAACAAAAATAAAGACCTAGAGGGCCCTGGCCACCCATATGTCTCACTGGTGTCAAGTGCAGGGCTGTGTGTCTTCCCATTTCCAGGGGATCTTCTAAATAGATTTCATAAGCAGGTGGCCTGCACAGGTGACAGCAATTCAATCCAGTAAACAATTTTTTAAATAACCTACTGCATGGTAGGCACAAGGCTGACCACAAGAAGCACCAAGGTGACTGTGGCAGAGTCACTGCCCTTTGTATTCGCAATCTGTATTGGGGGAAAGACAGAAGGGAACATCTATAGTTAATTCTAACACAATATGATGGTATCATTTAGTACATGACATTTTAACAGAAAGCACAATGGGAGCTCAGGGAATCCAGATACTGATATCTGAGAGCCTTACTTATGGGAGGACAAAAAGTCCCAAGTATGAGCAATCAGAGAACCACAAGAAGGTAGAAAGGCACATGACGTGTTCAGCTCATAGGAAAGAGATGCAGGGGGCATCAACATGGATGGATGAATGGATGAAAGGATGGGTGGTTGGACAAATCAATTTATGCTGATGAAACAAAATGTTTGATTTCCAATTTTCTGGATTACGGAAGACTAGTCACCACCCTGCTCCCCTGTGTTGTTGTAATAAGAAGAATCACTAGGTGGCATTATAGTACCAAAAGTCCTCACCTTTCATAGTCTCTAGGAGAAACACACCCAACAAGATTGCGTCAGCCCCTAATTTAGACAAATGAGTGCTTCTATTCATCTTGTTTCTCATTATGCCCACTTAATTTATTTCTCGAACAGCTACTATATGCCCAGCCCTATGCAGCATACTATGGAAAGAGAATACAAAAGGAGCTAAAGACAGGATCTTCTTCCTTGAGGAGCAGAAGCAGAAGCAAAATGTGCACGCCAACACTCCCCCATGAGAGATTTTCTGACAACAGTCCAAGACAGGATATAGTAAGCACTGAAATGAGGATGTCAGTAAAGAAGGTCCTGTGTAATCTGGCCTTTTCCACTTTCTAGTGCCAGCTCCCATCACTCACTCCTTGTTACACTGGTTCTTTCAATTCCCTGGATAGCCAAGCTCTTTACTGACTGGAATTCACAAATGCTGATCTCCCTGTCTGGAATACTTGACTCTCTCTCTTCTCTGGCTGGCTCCCATCCATCTTTCTTTCAGATGTCACTTCTTCAGATTACCTTCAGTCTCACTTCACCAGACTGCCTTTTCCAGTATTGTGTATTCTACTTCTAGGATCATCCCACAGTGGTAACTAATGACCTGCCTCCCTTGGTGTTGGGGCTGAATTGCATCCCTCCCAAATTCATATGTTAAAGGCCTGATGCCCCCTACTTCAGAATGGGACAGTATTTGGAGATAGAGCCTTTAAAGAGGTGAGTAAGCTAAAATAAGGCTTTTAGGGTGGGCCCTAATCCAATAAGACTGGTATCCTTATAAGAAGAGGAAAACTGGTCACACAAAGAGACACCAAGTGTGTGACGTGTGCACACAGAGGAATGACAGGGAAAAGGAGGCTATCTGCACAACAAAGAGAGGGGCTTCAGAAGAATTCAAACCTGCTGATACCTTGATCTTGGTCTTCCAACCTCCATAACTGCGAGGAAATCAATTTTGAGGTTTTATTTTTTGGTTTGGGGAGATGGTTTGAGACAGAAGTCTCACTCTGTTGCCCAGACTGAAGTGCAGTGGCACGATCTTGGCTCACTGCAATTTCCGCCTCCCAGTTTCAAGCGATTCTCCTGCCTCAGCCTCCCGAGTAGCTGGGACTACAGCATCACCATACCCGGATAATTTTTTATGTTTTTGGTAGAAACAAGGTTTCACCATGTTAGCCAGGCTGGTCTCAAACTCCTGACCTCAAGTGATCCTTCCGCCTCTGCCTCCCAAATTGCTGGGATTACAGGC